GCCGAGGCTTGCGACTGCACCACTTCCGGAGGAAGTTCCAAGTCTTCCAGTTCCCATCCTCCTTCCTCCTCGCCCTCGGCTCCAGGACCAGCTCTTCCGGCCTCCTCCAGGTCTTCGGCCTCGGCAGCTCCAGCTTGAGCATCTCCGCTGGGTATGACGAGCTCGTCGCCCCAAGCATCCGGGGCGTTTTCTTCTTCTTGGTCTACCACCCCCGGCTCAGCAAAGGCGCCTTCGAAGAAGCCTTTGCTGATCAGGAGCAAAGGCCAGTTGTTGTCACGGAGGATTGGGCTCGGCGGCAGTAGCAGCTTCGACGTCTCGAGTTTCGGAATCTGTGGAACCTTATCACCCAGCTCAGTGGCCAAACGCTCCGCCACCTCATCGAGACCATGAACTTTAGCCGCTGCATAGGCAAGAGGAAGGTGTCCCGATTTCTCAAGTAGCTTCACTCGCTCTTCGACGTCGCCCAGGTACAAGGCGTTGTGGAAGCATCCCATCACGTCGTTCCTCATCTCTGCGATCTTGAGCATCTTGGACAGCTTCTCCAAGTTACCAGTTATCAAGTAGAGGAACGACAGCCTCTCAAAGTTCTTCGTCCGCTGGTAAGCGTACTCCACAATCTCATGGTTTCCCTGTCGCAAAGCCTCCACTCCGAGCCTGTACCAGTAATCCTTCTCGTCGATTTCCTTTGCTGACACGACTGCCACTTCGATGTTGCCGCACTCGATAGCCAGATTGAACCTCGTCCTCTCATCCTTGACAAAGTGCAAGGCCACCTCTGGAAATCCTTTCTGCTGGAGGTACGAGATGATCGCCTGTCCACAAAGTTGGGAGCTTCTGATCATCTCCAAAACTCGGTCATAACGCTTCTGAATCAATGCAAGCTTGAACGTAAACTCTGTAGTGTCGATGGTGATCGTCCTCACTTTTCCATCCCTGTCGAGACAGTAAACCTTGTCTCCAGCAACTCGAGTGATGTAAATGGGAACGTCCAGAGTCATGATGGTGCCGCTGTCTCCATTTGGAAGGCAGTACTTGATATGATTCAACGTCGTATAGATGAACACTCCTGTTTCGTCCCATGCAGCACTCTTGATACGAATTGTCTCGTGAACACTGCACTTAAGAGCTAGCTTCTTCGTTGCCATGACGATACTATGCTTGCTCACTAAAGCAACAGCCTCCATATCCTGTGACCACACCACGTACTTCACCTGCGGGCTGTTGATCTCTCCCAAAATCGACTTTTGCTGGATGTCGAACAAGATCACCTTGTCATCTGAGCGACAGAGAAGAGTTCCTGTTCCCGCATAGAAGATTGCATCTACTGTTGGTGCCGGAGCGTCGACTTTCTTCGAGAGCTCGTTCCGGAGATTCCTGACTACAATCAAGTTGTGAGCCTTATCTAGAACTGCAAACCGGTTCCTGGCCACGAAAACAGCCGATGATCCACTGCCTTTCTTTGCTTCTTGAGTATCGTTCTTGCCAATGCTGTCCTTCGATATGACGTACAACTCGTAAGAACCGTTGTCAACGTCGGAGCACAAGAGCACGGCATTCTCCGCTGGATTGTAAGACATAGTTCTCGGTGCTTGGTTCATCCCAGTAGATCCAGGCCTCCGGATGGCGATCAGGGGGTTGTCCTTCCCGGTGGCAAAATCGTAAGTCCTCAAATGTCTTTCTTTGACGTAGTACAGCACCCCTCCACTGACTGTATACGCCGGCCTCTCCCTTTCCAGCTTAAACACGATCATGCCGCTGTCATGTCCCGCTGCGAGTAGATTCATCTCAGGGTGGCCCGAAAGAATCCAGAAACGGTCGTGCTCTCTCCTGAAAGTATGCACGCCAGATCGCTTCGACATGTCCCAGATCCGAATGGTCTTGTCCTCCGAGTTCGAGACGATAATGTCCTGGCGAGCGTGGAACATGACGCAGGAGACGTTGTTTACGTGACCTCGTAAGGTGTCCACCTCCCAAGCCTTCGTATCTAGAAAATGGAAAAAACAAAGAAATTTTAGAAAGCAAGAGAGATAAAAAAGGAGAACAATGGGCTTACCATTCATCCTCCACAACTTGACTTGTCGATCATCAGCTCCAGAGACAATGAGAGGCAAGCTCGGATGGAAGGAAGCCCAGTTGACACCCCTGTCATGGCCTTCAAGCACATACTTGACAACCGCATCACCGCCACCAAACAGATCGCTGTTCATCTGAGTGAGCCTCAGAAGATCCTCGGCCGGAGAAACAGTCTTCTTGCGTAGAGCACTGATATCCCACACACGAACAGTCTGATCCAGCGACGCCGAAACCACGAGATCCTCCTTGACGTGGAACGAGGCACACATCACGTAGTGATTGTGGCCTGTGAGCACGGAGATACACGTCCGGGACTGCCAGTTCCAGATCCTGATAGTCTGATCGTCGCTGGCGCTCACGATCCAAGGATACTCTTGATGGAACTGGACTGTCCGGATGTAATCCAAATGGCCCAGCAGCGTGAACAGGCATCTCCTCGTCTTGTAGTTCCACACCTTGATCTTGTAGTCATCACCTTAAAAAGAAGGGATCCTTTCAGCAGCGACTCAGGAAAGCAAAGAAATCGGTCGATCGAACAAAATGTCGATCGATCGGTGAGGAAAGCAAGGAAATCTTACCTCCCGAGACGAAAAGTGGCTGAGATCTGTGGAAGTGGACGCCGCGAACCGGCCCATCGTGCTCGTCGAAGCGATCTATCAGCGATCCCATCCGGTAATCCCATAGCTGGATGACGCCGCTGTGGAGACTGGCCAAGATCCATGGCCGCCGGGGATGGAAGCTCAAGCCCTTGACGCGATTGCTCTTGGTCTCGAATTTCGTCAGCATCTTCGATCTAGCGCGGCTTCGATCTGCGCACTCCCGCAGCTAGAGAACTGACCTAGGGCGCCCGAATCTCAGCTCGAGCGCGCTCCACCTAGATCCAGCGCTTCCAGGGCGCAAACCCTTGCCTCGAAATTTAGACGGCCAGAGATGGGGACAATCCAACGGCAAACAAAACTTTTACATTTGATTTCAACTATTTTACTTTTACCAAAGGATAGTGTCATACGCGGAGCTTAAGAGGAATTCCATGCTTAATCTCGACTTGCAAGCGCGGAGCTTGGCCATGGCATCGTTCTCCAATTGTCTTACTCGTTCTCTCGAGATTCCACAGCTGATAGATCGCAAATCGTGAAGAAAAAACTCCAAACTTTAGACGAAGAGAGCTTACCTTCTACCAATTTCGTGCCTTGAGAGTGGCGATGTCTGGTTGGGATGGAGGCCAAAGCGTTTTCTGATAACTTCGCGTTCTCGAGCATCTAGCTTTGATTCCAGAAGTCGATCCAATTCTTCCTGAGAATCATACAAAATGAGAACTATTGCTTGAAAGTAAGCGTTTTTACCTTCACAGCATCTCTTTCCGCCATCAGCCATGGCTGATTCTCCACGTTTTGATCAACGATAAACTGTGCATTGAATGTGAAGTGACCATATGATCTAAGGGAAAAAAGTCCAATTGCTACTTACGTCCTCGAGAGGATCCCCTTCTTCAAAGCAGCGTTTGTTGGCTACATGTCGATCTAAGGATGTTAGCCTGTAGTTGCTTGCCTGAAATACTATTGGTAAACGCAGAAAAGACGAGGCATGTCTAAACCTGAAGGGCGATTTCGATCCTGGCCCTCGGCAGCTTAAGGACTTGCATCATAGTCTAGAACAAAATATAAAGGAACTGGAAAATTGCTTGACCGTAAAAGAGTAAACTTTACCTCGACTGACACTGGCCTGTCGTCAACTTGTCTGTTCCTCAGCTGATTGATCTTTCGGATGGCTTCACAGAGATGGAATGGATATCTCACGCATTTCCCTCGCTTGTCCAAAGATCGGATCATTGCCTGCGTGAAAAAAACCAAACCATAGTCCTCTAAGTTCTCCGAGGTATCTAAGCACCAGAAAAGGATCTACTTACTTGAAAGATCCACCAGTACGCATATGTAGAGAATTTGAAGCCTCGGCTCACGTCGAACTTCTCAAGCCCGTGGATGAGTCCAAGAGTACCTTCCTGCTTCAGCGTAGAGCTGTTCTTACGTTTGAAATTGCAAAACTTGGACGAGGAAACGGAATCACCACCTGAATCAGATCGCCAATCTCAACTCCCATGTTCTCGTAGCGCCTTGCAATTGCGACGACGAGCCTGAGATTGGACAGGATCATCCGCTTCCTCGCGGCACCGCCTTGGCTCAAAATCAGTGTCACTTGCTTCACAGGCAACCCCGACGCTGTCGCCAATTGGTGCATGGAAGGCTCGTAACCAAGTTTGGAGATCAGCCTGGAAGGAAGTAAAAGTATGCTAGTGAGTGAGAGAAAAAATGAAAAACAGCCAAGTCCAACCTCTCTTGTTCCTTCACCAATTCACCAGCCATACGTATTTTCTCCCACAAATCAAGCTGCTCCTCGTTCGTCATGTCATGCGGCTCAGCGTTTTTAAGAAACGAATCCACGAAGCCTTTCATGGATCTCTCCGTTTTCACGCCTTTAGTCCTTCTTCGTCGAGTTGGAACACTAGCATTTTTGCTTGAGTTGTTCCCCAAGCCTTCCTCCCTGGAAGAAGTACTCGTCGTGGTCTCGCCCCTTTGCTCCTTGGCAGCAAGCCTTCGTTGCCTTGCTCCAGGCCGTCCCGATCTCACAACCTTGGGATTGCTAGATTCCTCCATCTCGCTATCACCCTCTCTCGAAGAAGACCACTCTACCTCTTGCCTGAAAGACCACCGCGCTTCTAGCAAAATCCTCTCGAGAGAAGGAAGCCTGCCCCCAGATTCTATCCACCATTGCTGTGCATTCTCATCCAAGCAAGGCTTCTCTTCCAGCACGCCCTCTGCCAGTCTCGTCGCCACCGAAATATTTCGATGCTGCTGCTCTACTCCGGCCGGCCCAATCGCGGCCTCCATTGTGCTCTTAGTCATCTTGTGGATGAGTTCGCCATCGCTGCGCTGCATTGCGCATCGGCAAGATCCCATCTCCAAGATCCCTGTCCCTGTTCCTGACGAGGAAGCGTGAGCTTCCGCCCGGCGCGTCGACCTGTGGCATCTCGATTCGCTGATCTTCGAGGGAGTCGCGAGCATACCTAATTTCACGGCGGTGCTCGCCGCTGACATCGCTGTTCTTCGTCTTCCTCCCCCTAGGGGTTTTGGGGTTTGGACAAACAATTCAAAACACCATATCTTAAAGCCAACGGTCCAGATGCTCTGTGCCAACGGCCCAGATCAAGCACATCTGAACCGTCGGATTGGAAGTTTAAGCTGCTTGTAGAGATTTAGGGTTCTTGAGGCTATACATGTTAGCGAGGAGGATGAATGCCGCAGAATCTCTCGGCCCCAGGCTTAGATCTAGCACGGATTTCGTGGCGCCACTGCCACACACCAGATCCCTGTGGTTTCTCGAGGCTCCGATCAAGCATACGTACTCCAGGACGTGTGGAACAAAGGGCATGTTCGTCACAAGCTCCTCCGCTTCCTCCAAGAATCCCGCCCGCGCTAGAAGATCGACAATGCAGCAGTAGTGCTGCCTCTGGGGCGCGATCTGGAAATCCGTGACCATGCAAGCGAAACAGCGGCGGCCAATCGTCCTCCCGACATAGCTGCAGCACGCCAGGATCGACACGAAGCTCGCGGCGTCCGGATCTTCGCTGCTCTTCATCGAATCGAAGGCTTTGATTGCGCAGGAGTGCTCGCCCATGGAAGAATACGCCGATAGCAGCGTCGACCACGAGATTGTGTCGCGCTCTGGCATCCGGAAGAAGAATCCAGTGACGCGATCGCGATGTTTCCCCTGTGCGATCGCCCCCAGCATCGCGTTCCAGGAGACGATGTTCCTCTGCGGCATTTGATAGAACAAGGGCTCCACTCTCTCCAATTGCCCGCATTGGGCATATACGCCCAGCATCGTGTTCCACGCCACCACGTCAGGCTCCCACGTCATCATGTCCTGGAAAAGCCGCTCCGCCAGCTCAGCATAGCCGTGGAGCGAGTAAGCCGCCAGCAAGGCGTTCCATGACACGCTGTCACGTTCCGGCATCGCGTCAAATGCTGACTTGGCCTCTTCCAGGTGCCCGTTCTGGGCATATGCTACAAGCATAGCATTCCACGTCACCATGCTCTTCTCGGGCATTTTGTTAAACATGCTCCTGGCATCTGCAAGATTCCCTTTCTGGGAACTTCCCGACAGGAGAATATTACACGTGACCAGATTGAGAAAAGGAGACGTCCTAATAATATGCTTGGCATCTTCCAGATTCCCTTTCTGGGCATATGCCGAGGACATGGTGTTACACGACATTAGATTCCGCATTGGCATGTCTTCAAACAAACGCCGTGCCACCTCAGTCTTGCCAGCTTGGACAAATCCCGTCAGCAGCGAGTTCCACGTCACGACGTCGCGCTCCGCCATGTCATCAAACATCTTCTTCGCTTCTTGCAAATACCCGTTCTGGGCATATGTCGTCAGCATTGCGTTTTGCGTCACAACGTTGTGCTCTGGAACTCTATCAAACATAAACTTTGCCTCTTCTAGATTAGATTCTTGGGCATATGCCGACAGCATGGCAGTCCACGCAAACAAATTCCTCTGCGGCATATCCTCGAACAAACCTCTTGCGAGCAGCAAATCCCCTCTTTGAGCATATGCCGTAAGAAGCACAGTCCACGATATGACATTGCGCTCGGGCAAATAATCAAACAAGCAACGTGCCACGTGGATGTGGCCCTCTTGCGTGTACGCCGCCAGCATGGAATTCCACGTCACGATATTCCAGAGTGGCATTCGAGCGAACAGAATCTCGGCCTGCTGCAGTTGCCCATTCTGGGCATATGCTGCGAGCATGGCAGTCCACGCAAACAAGTTCTTCCCGGGCATCGCAATGAATATCCCCTCCGCATCGTCAATGTAGCCATTGTGCGCATAGGCTGATAGCATAAACACCCACGAGAAGCTGTCCTTGCTTGGCCCGATCCTGTCAAAAATCTCTCGAGCCTTGTCAATCCGTCCAAAGTTTCCAAACAGTTCTATCAGCTTGTTGAGAACCAACACGTCGTTGTCTCGGTAGTCGATGCGCGCTTCGATCCGAACAGCTGTGGAGAAATCTCTACACGACTCAATCAGAGAAACAAGCCTGCGGTGATCACACATTTATGATACACTTATTAATTAGATCTATTTTCATTTTTCGTAACTTTACAAAAGAACCAAAACTGTCCGCAAAACATATAGAAAATGGAAAAACAAAAGAATCAAAACCGTATAGAAATCATCTCTGGAAAAAGAAAAATACCAAACAAAAGCCATATGAGTCAAAGATCTATCAAAAGAAATCCAAAGCTTACGTACCCGAACAAAGAACGCGAACTATGAGCTAGAGCTCATAGTCTCTCACACCTGGAAACTGTGGAGTATAGACTCAAAAGTGATCTTGGAGAGCTTCTTCACTGCTAGGCCAAGGAGATTTGACGCGGCATGTACCTCTGCTCGCCCGGTTTGTCTTTCGAATTCCGCTGCCAGCGTCCCACGGCCTTGCCACAAGAGTTCCCTACGAAGTTCCTGGGCCTGTTGTCCAAAACTCCATTTGCGTTTGAAGCCTCGTCCAAAACCCCGCTCGGAGAGCCTTTCGGTGACAGCTTTGGAGCTTCGGCGTCCAAGTTCTGGTCGTTGTTGATAGGCCAGACCTTCGTGTTTTTACTTCGCTTGCCGGTTCTGTCGTGCTTAAAGTTTGCGTCGGTGTTTCTCCGCTCCACAGCCGTGGCCCATCCTAGATCGCAATCACACAAGTTAGCAACATCTAAGAAGGAAGCAACGTAACTTACTTTCAGAGAGAAAGCTTGCCAGCAGCTTGGAAGAGAAGGATGGCGACGTCGCATGGAGATCCACAAGGCACGGCTTTGTGTCCACTGCAGCACCGTCTTCCGTATTGTCACTGTCCACCGCTGGTCTTAGAGCCACAGCACTAAGCTTGGGCGGAAAAGTTCCATCGTCCTCGACCATGCTCCGAGAGTTTTCCGCACCACTTTGATCTCCAACTTTGCCGACGGGCTTCCAAACCTTTAGAGGTGGTGTTGGCTTGGCCCAGCTTGCCTGTCTGCCTTCCAAGATTTCGGGAGTCGAAGACTTGCTCATCAGATTGCTCTCTTCCGATATAGAGCACGGACGTCGTACGTGCCCCTCCAGCGGCACACTTAATGATCCAACCAGCAAAGTATGGCCACTCTCAGCTTCCGCCGAACCCACGGGAACACTTACTTCCTGGTCATCATCTTTTGTTCTGCTTGGTTGGCTGGCTTTCCTCGTCCAGACGACACGACCATTGGATCCCTTCACAATACCTCTGTACACCCCAGCAAGTTTCTTGCGATAGTGCTGCTGGTATGGATCAATTCTTGTCGAGTGCTGCGTTCTTCTCGGCCGGAAATAAGCTTGATATGAGCTATCACCCGTCCGATAAGTTGCAGCAGAGGAAAAGTTTGTGCGTCTTCGATCCTTGATGACTCTCCCGATATTTTGATCCACAAAGTTGTCGTCTTTCAATGCCGCTTCGACCTGACCTTGATCCTCCTCATGTAGCATTTCTATACTGTTCTCCATCACCGTCTTCTCTTCAGAAGAAGTTTCCCAAGTAGCCGCTTGGTTGTCCCTCAGCAGAACAAGGAAGCCATTCTCATCTGTGACTTCGGTGACAGGCCCCTCCCCATTATCCACCGCAAACGGATAATCCTCGTCGTCACCCGTTCTTGGAGTATTCACCTCTTCATCGCCCAGATCAATGTCAGCATTTGGAGGCTGATCCACTCCCTTGCGCCCCTTCTGCTTGTTTCTCTTCTGACGTTTTCTTTCCAGATCTTTAGCTCGCCTGTAAAAGAAAATTACGTTATGAAAATTTCAAGCGCAATCCACGAAGATGCTTACTTGCGCTGGGCGGCTTCCTCCTCTTCAACAAGAGCTTTCTCGCAGCGCAACGCTTCGACGTTCTTTTCCGCCATCCACGCTTTCAGCTGAGAGAAAGAGAAGCTTAGATTCTATCATATGCATCTTGCAAAAAAATTTACCAGTTTCTGTTCGACGAGAAAACTCATAGAAGCCACCACATTTTTATCTTCGAGTCCAATTTTTTCCGCATCGCCGTGATATACAAAACGCTGAACAGCTATTGACGTCCCTCCGCACAAGAACGTCCCTTCGCTTGCATCATCGAGTGTTTTAAGAAGCTTTTCCGACGGTATTGGAAATAAAGAAGTTTTGTTCTGTACAAGTTCCTGCAACAGAAAAGAAATGAATATAAAACCAGGTGATAAGCATAGAATCACTTACGAGAAGGACTGTCCCTGCCTTCATGTAGGCAGGAGGATAAGGCTGCAGGCCAGGGTGTTGAACAAACGATGCTAAGGCTTGAAAGGCTGACGTTCCAGACAGATTCTGCAAAAACAAAGTATAAGGCGGTTTCGCAATAAAGAGATCTATAATCACCTCAATTCCCATATTTTTGAATGAAATGACTTCACTGGATTCTTCAGCTGTAAGCTGGAAGTTACGCACGCGTTAGTTCAACACTTTCATACAATTGTGCATACATACCTTATCCCAATACGCAGCTAACTGTGACCTTTCATGCCGCAAATCCTGTTACACCAAACCAGATTTCAGTAAATACCACAGCTAAAAACCAAACAGCTCTTACCTTATCATCAATCAGCGAACGACGATGTAATCGTATGTGCCTGCGATAATTCAGCGTGGAACAGAACTCGCGGGAGCACTTCTCACACTTCTTCATCTGCGGCTTCGGCAACAATGGCCACCCAGGAATCTCTGTGACAGATCAAACCGATGTTAGAACCAGGAAACTAAAAGAAAAGGTGAAAAGCAATACATACCATTAACTTTTGCGGCAGCCTGAGCAAAAGCCACAACAGCCTGAGGAACTTTGAGTGAATGCAACCGGTCGCTGGCCTGGAAACCTTTCGCCAAATTCTCGCTTCCCTTGAAAACATCGCTAAGATGAAATCCTCGCTCCTTGTTCCCAGCGTCATCCGACTTGAAGCTCTTCGCCGACTTATCACCGCGATGCCCAGTTACCTCGGACTCTTTCCTCTTGGCCTCCGCAGAGTCGGACCTCTTCCTATATGCTTTTCCCACACCCTTGGACGCATTGGAGCCTCCCCCCTCCTCGACCGAGGGAACAATGTTGCACTGTGTCGTGGAATTCGAAGTTTTCACCTTCTTCTCGTCGTCAAAACCCTTCACCGAACTAGCAGCCTTCTCGCTATCTACAGCACCAGCGCCTGGCGATTCCAAAACCTCCGCGAGACCTATGTCCTGCTCTACATCTACCTCCTGTTCGTCGTAACTACCATCGCCCTCCGGGATTGTAATCACGAAATCGTCGCTCTTCTCCATCGCCTCCACCTCCACATCGTGCTCGAAATCCATCGCCGCTCCTCCGGCCGAGAGGGAATTGCTAGCAGCAGCAGCTGCCGCCTCGCAGATTTCCGGGAGAATGCCTACCGAGAAGGAGATTGCGATGCGTCTTTCCTAGATCTCTGTTCCCTGGGCGATAGATCCGGCGTCTGGATCCCTGCGCGCGTCGCCTGTTCGTGGAAGTCTTCTAGGTCACACTGACCTAAGCTCTCAAACCTAATCTCAAGAACAAAATAGCAAAATACAGTCGATTTCCCTCCAATTTTGCCGAGCACGATTCTTGGCCTCTCTGGATCTCGGAAGAGCAGCGCAGCGATGGATCTACCACAAGTCAGAAAGAAAAATCTCTCATATCGGACAAGATTGGCCGCTTGTCCTGTTTCACCGTAACCGACATAGGCAAAGATCGATCAATCGCCTCGAAATCTCGCTCGCCGGGCAATATTTCGCGGAGATCGATCGAGAATGGGAGCGAATCGAGACGCAAGAGCTCGGGACCTCTAGATCGCGGCAGAGCTTCCGTCCCAAAGAGCCCTAGATTCGGGAGCAACCGTTGGATCTAGACGGATTCAAACAACACGCGCTCCGAGCCGTTGATCTCAAGCAGTAAAGAGAGGAAAAAGAGAAAGAAATTTTCAAACACTTTCCCACGTAGAGCTGTGTGTGTAGAAGAAGGGTTTTGGGGGTTTATTTAGGTCGGCCGGATGGATCGCGACGACGACGATGACGACGTCGATCCAGCGCCAGCAGCTCCGGCAAGATTCCAGCAGCAGCAACGAGATTGGAGTGCCTGGAGCATCGATGCGATCGAGCTCCTCTTGCAGGCATTCCTCAGGTATCTGGGAGCGTTTGTGGATTTTCTCGATAGGATCATCAGCTATTTCGAGGCGCCTCGCGAGGGAGAAAGAAGAGCGGGCCGGGAGCAGCAGCAGCGGCAGCAACAACAACAACAGGGAAGCAGCGTATGGATGCGCGTTCTCCAGTGGCTGGGCAGTGGCGTCAGGAATCTTCCCCAGGACCGAAGCTCGCTATGGATGCCCAGCGTCGCGATGCTACTCGTGTGCTTCGTATTTCTAGGTGAGGAAAAGAAAAAGTAGGCTAGATCTCCTTTGCTTTGCTTTAATCACCACTGGTTTGACAATGCAGGCTTTAGAACGGGCTTTCGACTCTTTAGAATCGTGGAAGTTGTCCAAGAACAAGTAGAACCCGAGAAAACACCGTCCAAGCGGCTCCTGCTACCAGATGGGAGGTACATAGCTTACAGAGAGCTAGGGGTCAGTGTAGAAAAATCCAAGCACTCTGGATTAGTGGTACGGGGATTAACAGCTTTTAGAGAGACAGGTACCATGTCCTTTTGTGCGCCTTTTCTCTCCAACTTGTGCTAACATATGATTTTTTTTGTAGGCATTCCCGGACTGAACGATTCTTTGCTGGAACAGTTTCAAGTTTGTCTGATCACATACGACTTGCCGGGATTCGGGCTGAGTGATCCTAATCCCAATAGAACATTTAACTCTTCCGCACAGGACATGGAACTCATTGCCAACGCACTGAGACTCGGCGAGAGGTTTTGGTTGCTGGTACATCCTGGTGGCGGTCCCTATGCGTGGGCAGCAATCAGATATATTCCAGAGCGACTATCAGGTGTGATCTCTGCTTTCTGCATTATCTAGAAAGGTAAAAGCCTGAAAGAGTTGATGCGAATTTTTGAACCTGGCTTGTTTTGCATGCACAGGTGTTGTGATGCTGGCTCCAGTTGGAAACCCGTCTAAGGCCGGGGACGTGAGTGAGATCGAGGAAGATGGAACTGATTCTGAGGAACTGTCGTCCGGATGGAGGTTCCTAGCACGAGTTCTTGGAATTGGCCGATTTTTTCCCATTCGAAAGGAGTTGAAGAAGAAGATAACAAAGATACACAAAGGATTGTATACGACTGTAGCTGACAAGGTAAGGAAAGGAGTTTCTGTTTTCAGTTTTCAGTTAAGCCATGATGCGTGTCTTTCAGGAACAAGTTTTGTTCGAGCAGAGGGAATTTATAAATTTTTGGGAGCAAAACCTTCGCTACACAGCGCCAGACGCAGTCCCGAGAGCAGCAGCAGCGCCTAAACCGCCAGCGGCTGAGAGACGGAGCCACCCTGATTTTAGCAAATTTTTCAAGATCAGGCTCAAGTTTCCTTCAGTGCCAGTGCGTCCAGCGTTCCGACTTGTGAAGAGCTTCATAATGTGGTGGTGGCCGAGACAAACTAAGAAGGAGCCAACGGATGATGCTGCTGTTGCTCCTGATGCTGCCGCCAGCTTTGGAACGCCGTTGCCTCCAAATCTACTGAGTGAGACTTGGGAAGCCTTCAAACTCAAGCTCGGCTTAGTCGTGGTGCTGCTGGTGATCTCGCTCTTGGTCCTCAGATAACGCACGCACACCTCTCTAGAGCCGAGGTATGGTTTAACACCTCTCATTTGTTCGCTTCGCTGTATAAAATATAGATGTCTGACACTCGAGTCTTTGTCCCGTCATCTTTTACGTTTTATCTTTTCTGCTTGCAGCAGAGACAGACAGACACTGATGCCTCACTCCGAGACAAGAGTCGTATCAGAGGACCAAATTACACCTACGGATTGTTTTAAGCTGTCACCAGAAAGGTACTTGAACCGCAAGTTAATTTCTCACACTTCTTTTCCCTTCTGTAGGAGATAACGCAAGAATCTACCGCAAACATAATCTTGACTCGAGGATTGGCGCGAGACCGTCAGAAGGGATGGTGTTTATAAAGGTCACGACGAGTTTTCTGATCTTTTGTGGTAGGCACGCTGGAGTCGTGGGCTGCTAGCTATTTACCGTACAAAAGCCAGAGACTTCTAAGGTGCCTTAACGAATATCCACCACCTCCTTTCTCTTCAGAGAACTGGTACGTTGTGCCTTGTATCTTCTGAGTTTCTCCTTTGTGCGAGTAGCAGCCATGTCGAAAGACAGTGTGAAGCTCTTGAACATCTGGCCGAGTATGTTTGGCTTGAGAGTCCACTATGCGCTGGATCTGAAAGGGGTGTCCTACGAATACCAGGAGGAGAGTTTGTCCAACAAGAGCAAGGAGCTTCTCGAGGCAAATCCAATCTACGCTAAGATTCCGGTTCTCATCCACAACGGCAAGCCTATCTGCGAGTCTCTCGTCATCGTCGACTACATTGACAGTGTGTGGCCCGGTTCTCACAAGCTCCTCCCGGAAGATCCATACGAAAAGGCTGTGGCTCGCTTCTGGGCAGACTTTGGTGACAAAAAGGTAAACTTGTTGCTTCTTCCGGGTTGATCAAAACCAGATTTTTCCTTACCAACAGCTCTATGACGCCGGGAACCAACTCATACAAGCTATGGGGGAGGAGCACAAGAAAGCCGGCGAGGACTTCAAGTGGGCTCTGATGAAAATCGATGAAGCTCTCGGCACCATCGCTCCAGGCAAGCCTTTCTTTGGTGGCGACGCTATGAACTTTGCAGATGTTGGTCTGGCTCCATTCATCTGCCGGTTCAAAGGCTACCAGAAAGTGGGAGGATTCGTGCTTCCAGGCCCGGAAGAATGGCCCAATCTCTACAAGTGGGTGGACGCTGTAAATTCCGTGGACGCGATCAAGAAATCCACTCCAAGCCCAGACGAGGTTGCTGAATTCGCTGAGGTTCTCAGGAAGCGAGTTCTCGGGGCTGCCTAAAACACGGACGGTTTTCAAGATATGTACTGTTTTCGATTCATCATTTCGATGCGTAAACAATAAAAAGTATTTCAAATAAACAACGTCTCTGACTAGAAATCCAGACGGTCCTTCGGGGTTCTTGCTTCAGAAATTTCGTCGAACGGCAACTTTTTACTACCGTCTGTGTGTTACGATTAGCCTTTTTATTAAAATTTTATCCTTTAAATTCTCCTTATATGTTTATGGAACCTTCTGTTTAGAAATATACATATAACAACTATAAACTAAAAGTATAGAAATAGTAAGGGAAGCTAACACTTTGTTACTATATGATTAAACAAACCTTCTCCAGAAATCTTTTATTCATTGCTGAATGTTCTTTTAAAGATTAATTCTTGCCTAAATTATAACATTTCATTATTTTGTATTTCTTTGTCAATATAAACTTTTTATTACCTCAAATATGCATACATCTATATATGGCAAAGCCTTTTGTGTATAACAAATACTTACCCCATTGCTATTGTTTTCATATTTATTAGTTTAAACTTTTACTACTTAATAATCCTAGTTTTATATATTTAACAAACTAGCTTAAGTCAAGTTCATTTTTATAAAGATATATATTAAAGATATATGTTATAATTTTTTTTATTTTCTTATATAAATATTATTTTATTTATAAAGGTTAAGAAAACATTAAGAATTGCCACTTTTGACGAGCTCTACCTCTGAAATGAATATTTTTAATGGTGTATTTATTTTAATTAATATTTAACTTTCATTATTAATTTTTTAAAATAAGTGTGTTAAGAATTATTATTTTTTAAAAATACTTCTCAAGCTTTAATCTTTGTAATAACTACACTTTTACTATCTAATTCTTCTTACTCTATATTTCATACTCCATATTCCATGTTTCTACCATCTAATCTCATTTCAAGTTTTTCTATGTTTTGCCAAATATATTTGGAGGAAATTGTAAAAATGAAAAAAAAACAAAAACATCATTCAATTATATACATAAAAGAGGCTAATAATTCAATTGTTAAGTTTCTAAATTAGCTTGGAGTTTATATTTACACTAAAATACTTAATTCACACATAATTTAACTTTGTGTAAACCATAAAGAAATTAAATACCTTTAAATTTAAGGGTAACTCATATTTGGTAGCTTGCATGAATTAAATATGATCAATTCGTGATGGCAGTTGGGTTTGAAGTAACTTGAAGCAGTGTTTAATTTTGATTACTGCCTTTAATAAATATTTAGATGCAAAAATCTTTAAAAGTTTTCTTTTATCTAATAGTATCACCTTGCCATTACTTTTTTTCAAAATAGAGAGAGCAAAAGAAATATGTTAAAGCAAGAATATTACTATAAAGACATATCTCATTATTGTAAGTGTAAGTGTTTATATTATAATTCATTGCTTTTGAAAGGATTTTATCCACTACAACATGATTTACAATAATAATTATATATTTTCTCTTTTGATTCAATTATTACCAAATTGTTTTACCTATATGAAGACAATGGAAGAAAAATCAATAGTTTTCAACTCAAATTTTTATTATTACTTCCACTCAAAGTTCTTGAAACAATATATAAATTGATTGTAGGGCTTTGAAGTGTTAAACTCTTGAATATCCCTTCATAGAGAAATAAAAGACCTTGAGAAGATTATATAAAAATAAAGAGTACAAAGTATGCTAGTTATGAAAAAAAAAATCTTGAAAAGAACAATAGAAGCACATTTGTTACAAAACTAGAAAGTGACAGAAAAAAAAATACATCAAACTTTGAAAAGTTTTATTTACTTAATGGATTATACTATTATCATTATAGCATCACCTGACACAATATTTATCTCACAGTTCTGAGTTGTAAAATGAAACACTAGTTCTCTTTCTTTTCTCTATAGTCTACTAGTAACAGTTTCAAGTTTGTCTGATCACATACGACTTGCCGGGATTCGGGCTGAGTGATCCTAATCCCAATAGAACATTTAACTCTTCCGCACAGGACATGGAACTCATTGCCAACGCACTGAGACTCGGCGAGAGGTTTTGGTTGCTGGTACATCCTGGTGGCGGTCCCTATGCGTGGGCAGCAATCAGATATATTCCAGAGCGACTATCAGGTGTGATCTCTGCTTTCTGCATTATCTAGAAAGGTAAAAGCCTGAAAGAGTTGATGCGAATTTTTGAACCTGGCTTGTTTTGCATGCACAGGTGTTGTGATGCTGGCTCCAGTTGGAAACCCGTCTAAGGCCGGGGACGTGAGTGAGATCGAGGAAGATGGAACTGATTCTGAGGAACTGTCGTCCGGATGGAGGTTCCTAGCACGAGTTCTTGGAATTGGCCGATTTTTTCCCATTCGAAAGGAGTTGAAGAAGAAGATAACAAAGATACACAAAGGATTGTATACGACTGTAGCTGACAAGGTAAGGAAAGGAGTTTCTGTTTTCAGTTTTCAGTTAAGCCATGATGCGTGTCTTTCAGGAACAAGTTTTGTTCGAGCAGAGGGAATTTATAAATTTTTGGGAGCAAAACCTACGCTACACAGCGCCAGACGCAGTCCCGAGAGCAGCAGCAGCGCCTAAACCGCCAGCGGCTGAGAGACGGAGCCACCCTGATTTTAGCAAGTTTTTCAAGATCAGGCTCAAGTTTCCTTCAGTGCCAGTGCGTCCAGCTTTCCGACTTGTGAAGAGCTTCATAATGTGGTGGTGGCCGAGACAAACTAAGAAGGAGCCAACGGATGATGCTGCTGTTGCTCCTGATCCTGCCGTCAGCTTTGGAACGCCGTTGCCTCCAAATCTACTGAGTGAGACTTGGGAAGCCTTCAAACTCAAGCTCGGCTTAGTCGTGGTGCTGCTGGTGATCTCGCTCTTGGTCCTCAGATAACGCACGCACACCTCTCTAGAGCCGAGGTATGGTTTAACACCTCTCATTTGTTCGCTTCGCTGTATAAAATATAGATGTCTGACACTCGAGTCTTTGTCCCGTCATCTTTTACGTTTTATCTTTTCTGCTTGCAGCAGAGACAGACAGACACTGATGCCTCACTCCGAGACAAGAGTCGTATCAGAGGACCAAATTACACCTACGGATTGTTTTAAGCTGTCACCAGAAAGGTACTTGAACCGCAAGTTAATTTCTCACACTTCTTTTCCCTTCTGTAGGAGATAACGCAAGAATCTACCGCAAACATAATCTTGACTCGAGGATTGGCGCGAGACCGTCAGAAGGGTTGGTGTTTATAGAGGTCACGACAAGTTTTCTGATCTTTTGTGGCAGGCACGCTGGAGTCGTGGGCTGCTAACTATTTACCCGTACAAAAGCCTCTAACTTAGAGACTTCTAAGGTGCCTTAACGAATATCCACCGGCGGCATATATCTTCAGAGAACTGGTACGTTGTGCCTTGTATTTTCTGAGTTTCTCTTTTGTGCGAGTAGTAGCCATGTCGAAAGACAGTGTGAAGCTCTTGAACTTCTGGCCGAGTATGTTTGGCTTGAGAGTCCACTATGCGCTGGATCTGAAAGGGGTGTCCTACGATTACCAGGAGGAGAGTTTGTCCAACAAGAGCAAGGAGCTTCTCGAGGCAAATCCAATCTATACGAAGATTCCGGTTCTCATCCACAACGGCAAGCCTATCTGCGAGTCTCTTGTCATCGTCGACTACATTGACAGTGTGTGGCCCGGTTCTCACAAGCTCCTCCCGGAAGATCCATACGAAAAGGCTGTGGCTCGCTTCTGGGCAGACTTTGGTGACAAAAAGGTAAACTTGTTGCTTCTTCCGGGTTGATCAAAACCAGATTTTTCCTTACCAACAGCTCCATGACGCTGGGGACCGACTCATACGAGCTATGGGGGAGGAGCACAAGAAAGCCGGCGAGGACTTCAAGTGGGCTCTGATGAAAATCGATGAAGCTCTCGGCACCATCGCTCCAGGCAAGCCTTTCTTTGGCGGCGATGCTATGAACTTTGCAGATGTTGGTCTGGCTCCATTCATCTGCTGGTTCAAAGGCTACCAGAAAGTGGGAGGATTCGTGCTTCCAGGCCCGGAAGAATGGCCCAATCTCTACAAGTGGGTGGACGCTGTAAATTCCGTGGACGCGATCAAGATATCCACTCCAAGCGATGACAAGGTTACTGAATCCGTTGAGCATTACAGGAAGAGTGTTACCGGGGCTGCCTAAAACACGGACGGTTTTCAAGACAGGTTGCGTAAATAAAGCATCTTGCTCCAGAAATTTCGTCGAATGGAAGATTAGCCTTTTTATTAAAATATTATCTTTTAAATTCTCCTTTCATGTTTATGGAAGCTTCTGTTTAGAAATATGTTTTACAAATTTACAGAAAACAAGTATAAACTAAAAGTATAGAAATAGTAATGAGAAGCTAATGCTTTGTTACTATATGATTAAACAAACACTTTTGAGAAATCTTTTATTCATTGCTGAATGTTCTTTTAAAGACTAATTCTTGCCTAAATTATAACATTTCATAATTTTGAATTTTCATTATTTCTTTGTCAGTATAAACTTTTTATTACCGCAAATGTGCATATATAGCAAAGCCTTTTAAATACTTACCCCATTCTTTTCATATTTATTAGATAAATTTTTTACTACCTAATAATCCTAGTTTTATATATTTAAAAAAACTAAATCATGTTGTGAGTGCTTGGAATATGGAAAGGGGATACAGAAAATGTGCATATCAATTAGCCCAAAAACCTTATTTTATATATAGGAGCGAGTGGTCCGGATTGAAATCAATCCAATGGCTACCAAAATCTACTACGCTAATATTAGTATACAACATCATAGCCGTACACTTGGCCCTCACATCATCCCCTCCTCTCGGAATAATGGAAGACCATCAGGGTTCTCTTGTAGATGAGCCGGGATCTGGAAGAACGTCAGGAGGCGGCATCGGCAGATCCGTGGGTGGTATTAACTCCTCCTGATCCCTTTGTACGAAGCGTTTCAGCTGTTGCACATGCACAATCTCTGGAGGATCGGCTTGCTGAATGTCATGCCGAACCTCATAAACTTGTGGTCCAACTTGCCACAACACCCGATACGGCCCTTTCCACTACACAAGAAGCCCCTTTAAGTTAGATAAACCACATACCGTAAGATGGGGAAAACGGACTAACACCAAATCATCCACTTTGTACTTCGCAGGTGGACAATAACGGGAGTTGTAGTGCCGTTGTTGTCCCATTTGTATGCGGCCTAAGTGTTCGGCAGACTCTGCTCAGATAAGTGGAAGAATGCTCATCAAATATTAATCCCATGACCTAGCATCGGGAGCTCATGGCAATCCCGAAGGTAAACCCAGCTCCGTTAGTAATATTGGATCATGACCATATAGAAGTTTATATGGTGAAGCACCAACAGAACTCTACACCTCTGTGACATAGGCATACGAAAGAGATGGCAAATAACCATCCCAATCCGAATGCTGAAAGTTCACATATTTCACAATCATCCCTTTGAATGTCCGAACGAGCCGTTCCACCAGACCGTCTGATTGTGGATGATAAGCACTCGTGAAAGTGTGGCGTATCCCCAACCGAGACGTCAAAACATGAAATACCTCAGCCATAAATGCAAGACCATTATCCGAAAGAATCCGCTTTGGACAAGAATGCTTGAACACCACTTGATTGAGGAGGAAGTATCCAACAGCAATTGCAGAGGCGCTAGCAAGAGCACCAACTTCCACCCAACGAGTCAAGTAGTCAAAAGCAATAATAACATACTCATTGCCAACAGTCAACCGTGGAAAAGGTCCTATAAGATCAAATGCCACCAACTCAAATAGACGGGAAATTGCAATTGACTCCAACCGTCCTTCTGTAGCACAAAGGGGAGTATTACGAGCTTAGCACCAAACGCAGCTACGCACATACCGGATAACATCACGTCGCATCTCCGGCCAATAGAAAGACCTGCACAGCTTCTCGGTCACACAACAATGTCCCATATGCCCACATAGAATAGGAGAATCATGGTAGGCATGGAGAAATTGTGGAATAAAGATAGAAGGCACCACCAGCTGTAAATGATCATCAGGATCCGTCCCCACAAAATAAAGAAGACCATCTTTAAGGTGATATTGAGAATGTAAATGCTGGAAAGGCAAGTCATCATCAAGTGATAGGATTCTCAAACACATCTTGAAGCCTTCAAATCCACAGCTCAATCTTTTGAGCCTCGCGAACCTCATCAAGAGAAGGTAGATCTTGCTCTGCGCCTTGTGGACACTGAACGTCAAGTATAGCAACTGCCGATGGCATAGAATCCTCGTCTAGAAAATCCATAGATGCTGGAACAATAGGCTCATCAGAAACATGAGAAAAAAGTGGAGAAGGAAGAGGAGCTCGAGAAAGGGCATCAGCATCAGCCATAAAACTCCCTGGGCGATGAACAACATCAAAATCTTATATTTGAAGCTTCAAAGCCCACCGCACAGTACGACCAACCAAGTTCTTCCGCTTCATCAATGAAGTAACGGCAATATGGTCACCTTCAAGTAATGTCTGAGAACCATGTAGATATGCATGAAGTTTCTCGAAACCCCAAACTACTGCTAAACACTCCTTCTCTGTCGTGGAGTAGTTCACCTTTGCTGGTTGTAACGTACGGCTTATATACGCCAAGGTCTCCACCCAGGAAGTGGAGGTCGCCAATCCGGAAAGCACCGACAACGCCGATAAGTATGACCAACTTCATCACACGCCCAGCAACGAATATCACGGCCACGACCATGTCCTCGCTCTTGTCTTTGGACTCGAGTAGCAGCAGCATCAACCTCCATTGGAACAGGACCATCATTCATAGGAAGTGGAGCTGAAGGACATGTAGCGAGAAGTGGAAGAGGTGACGTTTCATAATGTTGTGTCAAGCGAAGAGCATCGTCAAGGGTGGCAGGAGCAAGTGCATGCACAAGTTCGACAAGATCTTGACGAAGTGCTGGCCACAACATTCCTAGCTTGATCCGCTCCGACATATTGGGCTCCGCACGAAGCAAAAGACTTCAGAAACGAATGCCAAATTGCATCACTGACTCAGATGGCCCTTAGTGAAGACAATGCAATTGTTGAAAGGCATCATCATAATCGTTGGCATGTTCGAATGCACGTTTGAAGACATCCAGAAGAACATTCCAATCCCCATGAGTGGCTGCGCTCAATCCATTGTACCACTGCAATGCCATCCCTTGGAGACATGTGGGGAACTCACGCAAACGTCGAGCATCATCCCAAGAATGATATGTGGCAATCACCGTGAAGTGATCAAACCAATAGTACACATCATCCCCAGGATTCCCACGAAAGAACTCCGGCCGAACGTAAGGATTGGCATCAAGAGCAGGAGGAGTTGGACCACGTGCCGTGAATGCCGCCATCAATTGAGTTTGGTTGTTCAATTGCAAGCATATAGCATCAAGCAATTGAACCAACTGCTGCTCTAGAGTCAAAGGAGGAGATTGCTGATCTGCCATGAAGATGAACGAAAAAGAAAGAACAAAAGAAGAGAAATGACAAAAAGCTGGAAGGAAATGGTAGATCTAGACAATGCAAAAAGCTAGATCTAAACCAAAATCCTGAAAGGAAAGAACAAAATAAAGGAAATGGAAAAAGTTAGATCTAAACGATGCAAAAGCTAGATCTAAACCGAAATCCCAAATCCAAGCACTCCCCAGGGACAATCAAAGGTGCCCCTCAACTCCACCAATGTGAGTGCATGGAATATGAAAAGGGAATACAGAAATGTGCATATCCATTAGCCCAAAAACCCTAGCTTATATATAAGAGCGAGTGGTCCGGATTGAAACCAATCCGATGGCTACCAAAATCTCACTACACTAATATTAGTATACGGCATTGTAGCCGTACACTTGGCCCTCACAATATCATATAGTATAAATAGGAAAAATATTAAATATATCTGTCAATTTTATTGCAAAATCAAACCTTCATG